CTGTAATCCCAGCTACTCGGGAGGCTAAGGCAGAATTGCTTGAACCTGAGAGGCAGAGGTTGCAGTGAGCTGAGATCGCACCACTGCATTCCAGCCTGGGCAACAGTGCAAGACCCCGTCTCAACAACAACAAAAAACTTAAAACATTAGCCAGATGTGGCTGTGTGCACCTGTAGTCCCAGGTACTCAGGAGGGTGAGACAGGAGGACTCCTGAGCCCTGGAGTTCAATGTTGCAGTGAGCCATGATTGCACCACTGCACTCTAGCCTGGGCAACAGATGGACACCCTGTCTTTAAAACATAAAATAAATAAAACCAGTAAGTGGGCCAAATTTGGCCCATAGGCCAAAGTTTTCTAATCCTTGATCTATATAGAAAATCTTAGAAATTTCTCAGATAAATTACCAGAATTAGTAAGAATTAACAAAGGTCATTAGATATAAATTATGGAAGAGAGTAGGGAGGTTCCTCAAAAACTTAAAAATAGAACTGCCATATAAATCCAACAATCCTTCTACTAGGTATATATCCAAAGGAAATTAAATTACTATGTCGAAAAGATATCTGCATTCCCATGTTCACTGCAGCACTATTCACAGTAGCCAAGATATGGAGTTAACCTAAACGTCCATCAATGAATGAATGGATTTAAAATGTTGTAATATACACAGCAAAATGCTATTCAGCCTTAAAAAAGAAGGAAAAATTGTCATTTGTAACAACATGAATGAGCCTGGAGGACATTATATTAAGCAAAATAAGCCAGGCTCAGAAAGACAAATATCACTTACATGTAGAATCTAAAAAAGTCAAAAACTCATAGAAGCAGATAGTAGAATGGTGGTTACCAGGGACTGGGACAGGTAGGTGGAGTACAGTGGAGGGAAATTTTGAAAATACGACATTTCAATTAGGAGGAATAAGTTCAAGAGATTTATATTGTACAGTATCATGACCACTGTTAATGACAATTCACTGTTGTTATTATATATAATTGAAATTTGTTAAAAGTAGATTTTAAGTGTTATCATAAATGCTAAGTATGTGAGGAGATATATATATATACATATAAATTAGCTTGATTTAGCCATTCCACAATATATACATATTTCAAACATCATTTACACCATTAAAAAAATTTATCTTTTTAGGCCTGGCACGGTGGCTCACGCCTATAATTCCAGCATTTTGGGAGGCCAAGGCAGGTGCATCACTTGAGGTCAGGAGTTTGAGAGCAGCCTGGCCAACATGGTGAAACCCTGTCTATACTAAAAATACAAAGATTAGCCGGGTGTGGTGCCGCACACCTGTAATCCCAGCTACTCGGGAGACTAAGGCAGGAGCATTGCTCGAACCTGGGAAGAGGAGGCTGCAGTGAACCGAGATTGTGCCACTGCACTCCAGCCTGGGCAACAGGCTGGAATACAGTGGCATAATCATAGTTTACTACCACCTTGACCTCCTGGGCTCAAGCCATCCTCCTACCTCAGCCTCTCAAGTACCTGGGACCCCAGGTGTGCAATACTCTGCCTGGCTACTTTTACATTTTTTCGTAGAGACAGCGTCTCATTATGTTGCCCATGCTGGTCTCTAACTCCTGGCTCGAGTGATCCTCCCACCTTGGCCTCCCAAAGTGCTGGGATTACAGGCATGAGCCACTGCACCTAGCCAACAAGGAAATTTTAAAATAAAGGGAATAAACTGCCTGGGCATGGTGGCTCATGCCTGTAATCCCAGCACTTTGGGAAGCCGAGGCAGGTGGATCACTTGAGGTCAGGAGTTTGAGATCAGCCTGGCCAACATGGTAAAACCCCGTCTTTACTAAAAATAGAAAAATTAGCTGGGCGTGGTGGCAGGTGCTTGTAATCCCAGTTACTTGGGAGGCTGAGGTGGGAGAATCGCTTGAACCTGGGAGGTGGAGGTTGCAGTGAGCCAAGATCATGCCACTGCATTGGGCGACAGAGTGAGACTCTGTCTCAAAAAAAAAAAAAAAAAAAGACAGACATATATATATATATATATATATATATATATATATATATATATATATATATATGAATGAAAATAGATATTGAAAAGTTACCCAGAATATAACATATGGAAATGAAAAGATAGAAAATATAAAGGAGCAAGTTATAAGAAAAGGAGAGTCAAACCTGAATGTTTCATACATATATTTGGAGCTCCAAAAGAATAGAGAAAATCAGCGATAGACAATATTGGAATAATGCCTGAGAAACTTTCAGAATATATGAATAATATGAATCTTAAGACTTGGAAAGTCAAACGAATCCCAATAAAGATAAATGAAAAAAGATCCAAATTTACATATACTGGTGAAATTGCAGTGTATGTAAATTTCATACGTAATTTAGACATATGCAAATATGTCTAAAGACAGAGAGAAGATTAACCAGAGGGGGAAAAAAGATAAATTACTCAAAGTAACAGTCAGACTAATAGCAGACTCACAAATTGTAACAATGGAAGATAGAACTCTGTGGAAAATTATCCTAAATATTCAGAAAGCAACAACGACCTAAAATTATATGCTCAGCTAAACCTTTATTCAATAAGATGAGTTGAGCTGGGCATAGTGGCTCTCAAGTGGGAGGATCACTTGAGACCAGGAATTCAAGACTAGCCTGGGCAACATAGCAAGACCCCATCTCTTCAGAAAATTTAAAAATGAGTCAGGAGTGGTGGTGCACACCTGTAGTTCCAGCTACGTGGAAGGCTGAAGTGGGAAGATCCCTTGAGCCTGGGAATTTGAGGTTATAGTGAGCTATGATTGTGCCACTGCACCCCAGCCTGGGCAACAGAGGAAGACCCAGTCTCTTAAAAAAGAGTGAAATAAAGATTTTCAGAACAGGCCGGGCATGGTGCTCATGCCTGTAATCCCAGCACTTTGGGAGGCCAAGGTGGTGGATCACCAGAGGTCAGTAGTTTGAGACCACCCTGGCTAACATGGTGAAACCCTGTCTCTACTAAAAATATGAAAAATTAGCTGGATGTGGTGGCAGGTGCCTGTAATCCCAGCTACTCGGGAGATTTATATTGTACAACATGACCACTGTTAATGACAATTTACTGTTATTATATATAATTGAAATTTGTTAAAAGTAGATTTTAAGTGTTATCATCATAAATGCTAGGTATGTGAGGAGATATATATATATAAATTAGCTTGATTTAGCCATTCCACAATATATACATATTTCAAACATCATGTACACCATTAAAAAAATTTATCTTTTTTTAAAGGCTGAGGCAGGAGAATCGCTTAAACCCGGGAGGCGGAGGTCGCAGTGAGCCAAGATTGTGCCATTGCACTTCAGCCTGGGCAACAAGAGTGAAACTCTGTCTCAAAAAAAAAATAAAATAAAATAAAAAAGATTTTCAGAACAATAAAAAATGAGAGAATTTACCTCAACAAAGTCTAACTTTAAAAAATTCTGGCCGGGTGCAGTGGTTCATGCCTGTAATCCCAGGCATGGGTGTGCTGGCAAGTGCCTGTAATCCCAGCTACTTGGGAGGCTGAGGCAGGAGAATCACTTGAACCCAGCAGGCGGAGGTTGCAGTGAGCCGAGACAGTACCATTGCACTCCAGCCTGAGCAACAAGAGCAAAACTCCATCTCAAAAAAAAAAAAAAAAAATTCTGAGGAATGCACTTCAGAAAGAAAGGATCAAAAAGGAATGTTGGAGATGAATGAAGGAATAATGAGCAAAAACATTATTAAGCATGTGTGTAAATCTAAAGATACATTGACTGTAAATTCTATTTTTTTAACAGCCGGAAGTTTTACAACTTTTTCTTCTGGTACTCATTTTCACTATATTTTCTCATAGAATTATATCCTGTTATATGCTCAGGCTGGTGTGCAGTGGCGCAATCATAGCTCACTGCACCCTCCACATTCCAGGCTCAAACCATCCTCCCACCTCAGTCTCCAGCTAATTTTTTATTTTTTGTAGAGACAGGGTCTTGCTATGTTGCCCAGGTTGGTCTTGAACTCCTGGGCTCCATCTGTCCTCCCGCCTCAGCCTCCCAAAGTGTTGGGATTACAGGCGTGAGTCACCACCCCCAGCCTACTGATCATTCTTATCGGTATCAAAAATATGCATGTAAACTGACATTAATTTTTAAAATTGTTTTCTGTGACCACAGGGCTATTAGTGTTACATTTCTTCTGGATTTAATGATCTTCACAATATTATTAGCCTACAATTGATTAAAACAACATATATTATTTTAAATAATAATTATTAACATAAAATAAAATTTATTGGAAAGACATCTCATTTTTGAAGTTTCCTTTTTTTTTTTTTTTTGAATAGAGATAGCGTCTATCTGTCTGTCACCCAGGCTGGAGTGCAGTGGTGTGATCATAGCTCACTGCAGCCTCAAACTCCTAGGCTCAAGTGATCCTCCCACCTCAGCCTCCTGAGTAGTTGGAACTGTGAGTGCACACCACCACACTCAGCTAATTTATTTTAATTTTTTAAATTTTTGTAGAGATGGGGTCACCATCTTACCCAGGATGGTCTTGAACTCCTAGGCTCAAGCAATCCTCCTGCCTTGGCCTCCCAAAGTGCTGGGGTTACAGGCATGAGCCACCATGCCTGGCCTCAAATATTTTTTAATTGACACATTGTAACTGTACGCATTTATAGGGTACAATTTGATGTCTTGATACATATATGTTGTATAATGAGCAAATCAGTATTAGCATGCACTTATCATTCCTTTGCAGTAAGGACATGTAACAGTCACTCTTCTAGCTATTTTATAATATACTATATCTTACTACTAACCATCATCACCCTACTGTGAAATATAATACCCTAGAACTTATTCCTCCTAATTGTAACTTTGAGCCCACTGACCAAGCTCACGTCATCCTCCCTAAATTTTATTTTGAAGGGCAAAAATATGATTATTACTGAACCGTTATATTTATGATAACTCTAGATTTTGTTGGCTTGGTTTCTCCTGTAGGTATACAGAAGATGGGTGTCCACATAAGAAATTCTTTCACACACGTTTTCTTATGCGAATGAGGTTAACACCAGATTGTTCCAAAATGTTGATTTCAACGTCCTCTGGATATCTCTTAATTTTGCATGATCTTGACTTAACTAAGTCTTTAGAAGTAGGCAGCTATCCCATTTTAAGAGCAAGAAGAACTACTTCAAGTTCAGGTAAGCTTTCCTTTTTTAGTCAAAAAGATTTTTCTCAAGAATCTCAAACAGAGAGATAATATATGTTTCTTTTCTGAGAATGATAGCAGGAAAGGGGAAGACAAAAGGCATTCTTTAGAAAGCTCAGTGATGGGTTTTTATCCAAGCAAGTATAATGATTTGTATGTATCTCTGACATATCATTCATATGTACCTCTGAATCACAAATGGACTAGGAGGAATAACTGCCAACCCTAACGTATTTTCTTTTAGCTTTATGCTAGCCACAGGATCTTTTCATCAGTAATTTTAAATCATCACTATCTCAAAAATTAGTGATGGCACAAGGTCTTAAGTCCTTCTGGAATCAAGCAGAGCTTTTATTAAGTTATGGTCAATACAGAGTTTTAGTTTTAAGTCTATCTGTGTCCTAGACTTATAGATGTCCAGACACAGATAGTTGGTGCCATCTTATCTCATTACTCTCTAAACACTGTCTTGCTAAAACTCTGTCTCTTCTCCCATTGCTGATTTTGTTAGACTTAAGTGAATTTAGGGTTCAGAAAAACTTAAGTATTGTATTTTATCAACATTATGTGATTTAAAAAAGACTGTATTTCATCTACCTTTGGGAAAGAGGTGAGTGGTTTACATTATGAACAAATTTATATAATTTACATTATAAACAAAATCCAGGGGAAAAAGACTTAAGCATTTGGAACATAGAATGCTAATAAATTTCTATTAAAAGGCAGCTTCGAATGGTTGGGACCAGGTACAGGGGCTCACACCTGTAATCCCATGACTTTGGGAAGCCAAGGTGGGAGGATCGCTTGAGCCCAGGAGTTCAAGAGTAGCCTGGGCAACATAGGGAGACCTCATCTCTACAAATAACTTAAAAATTTAGCCAGGCGCAGTGGCTCACGCTTGTAATCCTAGCACTTTGGGAGACTGAGGTGGGCGGATCGCTTGAGCCTGGGAGTTTGTGACCAGCCTGCACAACATGGTGAAACCCTGTCTGTACGAAAAACACAAAAATTAGCCAGATATGCTAGCATGCATCTGTAGTCCCATCTACTGGGGAAGCTGGGGCAGGAGGATCACCTGAGCCTGGCAGGTTGAGGCAGCAGTGAGCCATGATTGCGCCCCACTGCACTCCAGCCTGGGCAACAGAGAGAGACCCTGTGTCCAAAAAAAAAAAAAAAAAAAGAAAGAAAAAGAAAAGAAAATGAAAAAAAAAAAAAAAGGTTGGAATCTTTCTCCATGTGCACAGGACCACTTCCGAAGATTCCTTTGGGAAAGTACAGACATCATTGTACTACAGTGCCTGGTGTAATTGCTAAAACTAGAAATTTAAGTTTTACCAACTTACTTGCAAACAAGGGATTTCATAAATATACGAGTATAATCCTTTTAGATTCAAATTTGCCTTTTAAGTTAAACATGATAAGCAACTCTAACTTAGTGAGAAATAGTGATTTTGAATGTCTAGTTGGCCTATTTCAACTCAAAAACCAACAAAGTTTTCAGTTTTCTAACGGTAATTCTGATAATAACATCACAGGATATTAGACTAGTAAGAATTCTTAACATAGGTGTGGGACCACTATCAAAATGTGATGCTGAAATAGACATTGCTATTTGGAGTAATATATCAGACTCCACTACCTGATACTCATTTTATTTTTTTCAATGTAAACTTTGTGTCACATTTCAGAGTATTCACATAAACTTGGCACAGTAGTGCATACCTGTAGGCCCAGCTACTCAGGATGCTGAGCCTGAGGTGGCAGGATCACTTGAACCCAGGAATTAGGAGTCCAGCCTGGGCAACATAGCAAGATCCTTGCCTCAAAAAAAAAAAAAAAAAAAGACTATTCACGTAATTTCAATAATGATAATGGAAGTTTTTGGTATACTTTAAAGAAGAATCTCTTCATGTTTCTGGTAATGGGCCTGATGTTTGGACCCTATTTTAACATAAAAACAAAAGGCTTAAGAGCTTAGTTTTCATTTTCATTGAATTTTTAGGTTTCATTTTAGTACAGAAATGATGAGGATCCAAAGATGCTCCTATGATTATTTTGCTTTTCATTTTTATTTCACATAGTCAAGTCTTTGATATAAAAGATTCAGAAAGGGACTAGATCTTAGAACACTTCAAAGAGCTGTCTTGCCTTCCTCAGTCTTATAGGCCAGTTATATATGACCATTTTTTTTAAATGTTAAAACTATGGTTCGAGCAGAATAATTAAAAAGTGAAAAGCCACTACCAGAGTTATGCTAGGTTTATTGTCAGAATTTTTTATATTTTTAAGATTTGACCACTTCATCAAGTTCATCTGGTCCTAGAGTTTCTGGCTCACCTTGTCATCATAGTGATTCTAATTCTTCTGAGAAACACATGTCACGAGCCTCTCAAAGAGAAGGTAGGTTAAAAGTTGGATTTTATAATCTTGTAACAACAGATTCTGCCAATCTGATTAATTATTGATTGATTAAAATCAACTTTATGGTTTTGATCCATAAAAATAAAAGCAATGGAGATGAGGTGATTTATCCCTCAGTCATCATCTTCAAAAAGCTAACCGAGAGTCTCTGGGGTTGAATATCTTGAGTTAAATCTTAATGGAATATGAGTCTTGGTTTTATTAGCTGGACTTAGTTTGGTCTAGTTTGGAGAGCAAGTAGTTCAGAAATGTGGATTTCAATCAAGATTGTTGTGAAAATTAAATGAGATTATGCATGTGAAAGTTCTGTATAAATATAAGGCATGAATTTTCAGGTAATTGTGAAAGTCACCTGGCTACCCTCAGACTTTTTGCTCTGCCATTTCTTTGTCTGTGCAATGCCTGACAGCTTCAAAGGGTTTGTAGGATAAAGATACCATCTGGCTCCACTCTGTATTTCCCAGTTTTTTCCTAGCCATTCTGGCAGAACTAGGTGCTGTGCCCTATACCTTCCACCCCCCAATTGAAATGGTTTCTACCTATACAAATTCCACATACTATTCCTCTTCATACTAATCCACATCTAAGCTCTTACATTATTTATTGTTTGTTCTTCTCTTTGTGAACTGAGTATTAAGAGCCAGATATGGCTTTTTTTTGTTTTTTGTCATTTTGAGTCACTTTTGGAAATAGAGATTTCTCTACCTTGATATTTTGGGCAGAGACTGAATCTCAGACTTCTAATTTGTGTTTTCACTGGGTAGCTTTGCCTGGAAGATGCTGGTTATCTTGCATGGCTACTTATGTCAGTAGAACGGTTTAAGAGCTCTTTCTAACCTAACCTATGGCCTATCCACTTGCCTCTGGATATTGAAGTCTGTGATATTTCACTTTAAGGTTAAAGGCTCCTCATCTTAAATGTAAAGATTTAAGCCCAGAAGTATAACATTTTTCCTTTGATTTGTAACACAAACATCTTTTGCAGATTCTTCCTGTTCTCCTCCTCCTTGTGCTATGGGAAACAAGTCAAGGCTTCTAATAATCATTGAGAAAAATCTTTATTGATTGACTACACCATCCACAAGAAAAAGAAACTTAATTTAAGAAGAAAAGAATAGTTAACATGCTTGCTTGTTATTGACCAGTGGTAAACACACAAACACAAATATACAGCAGTTCTATGCCACAGAGAGTTGAGAATGAGGGAAGAGATGATATATGAGAAGGCTGGAAAGAAGAGGAAAATGAGAGGGTGGAAAGAGAGGAAAAACATGGGAGAAGGTGGGGCTTATAGGTGAAGTTGCTCTAAATGTTGGAAATCCTGCATCTTCAGATGTCAGAGTATGTTAACACCATCCTTTGGCAGATATAATAGCTGTATAGAGCAGAGGCTTTCAAATACATTTCAGCATTAGAACTCTATGTTTGACATGAAATCTGCTGTGGATTCTTAGAGATGTAGCACAAATAAAATCAAAGTAGCTCTGGTTCAAGAAAAATTAGGGAGGCTCTTGACCCTCCAGTCTTCCTCACCCCATCTCCACCTTAGCTCACACGTGGTTTCCCACTTTTGCCAGCTCCTGAGGAATCCCAAGGGGCACAGTTAGCAAACCACCTACTTAGAATGCATTTTTTGTCTGCTTTTATTATAGGTTTTCCAAATTAATTCTTAAGCGTTTTTCTCTAAAATTGTTAAAGTTCAATCACATGTGAAATAGTCATTTCAGTAGAGTTTTGTTATAGCAGTGTAATTGAGAGCTTCACAGGTTTCTGTTAATGATGTAGTAATCTAAAGGGAATCTTTAAAAAGAAGTTAACACATCTGCTTGACAAGCAATTCACAAAGGATCTGACAGAGGGAGCTCATTACCTTCAAAGTAACTCCTTCTGCAGTCAGAGAAGTGTTGAAATATTTCTCTGGCTATTAAGTTTCTAAGTTGCTTCCTTACAGTGTCTATGAAAGTGGTTTTTCATGCACCTGAAGGATATAACACACTCCCATTAGTAACAGCTTACTCCAGCAGTCATTTTCACTGGGAGTTAGGCAGAAGGAAATGATGAGGCACAGTAGAATCACCAGGAAGATGTATGATTGGCAATGTCCCCCATCCCTTGTTTTGACATGCCTTTATGTGAGGTGTCCTTCCTCACCTCCAAAATTTGTTTTGTTTATAGTGTTGTTGTTGCGGGGGCATAAGTCCTGATCTTTTTATTTGCTTAAAGGCAATTCTCGTGGCTTCCAGGTATTTCCTTTTCTGGACCAGAAAGCACCAGGTCCAATAAGATGAGAATTGTTACCTTTTATCTTTCTAGAGTCCTTTCATGTCACATAACTTTGGTTCTTACTTAAATAAAGAGCTTTCTGAGATGTAAGAACCCCTAGTCAGCTTCTATGCCTTAGCCTTAGGTCGGCAATGATTACCGCTGTGGGAACTTGGATTCTTTCGTTCTATTTATACCATTTCCCCACACCTTCACCCTGCCAAAACTCACACACCATACACTGGGGAGTACCATGCCCTTTAACATATGGTAGCATAAGGGGCAGACTAAGGAATGATGGCATGGGAGGTGGCTGCCAGAAATAAAAGCTTTGATGAACTGCCTTAGTTTTTTGATAATACAAATTCCACATCCTCCTTTTCTTGTATCTCAGGAGTTTCACCACGAAACAGTCTTGAAGTCGTAACCCCTGAAGTTCTTGGTGAGAGTGACCACGGAAACTGCATCACATCCTTACAGCTGCACCCAAAAGGCTGGGCCACTCTTCTTCGGTGCTCAAGCAACAGTGATGATGAGGAGGTACAGGCAGCAGCACTCCACCTTCAACAGGGCTCATTGGACAAATTGCCATTGCCGTGTGTGCAGACCTTAGGCCGATCACTGACTGCAGTCTCTGCCTTCAAGGGCATACTGCTAGAGATCCTGCTTCTCGACTCTCCTGTTTCTGTCCTCTCTTGCTTCATATGGTATCATTATCCCTTCCAAACTCTTCTTATTCCTCTCCTGCTGGAGTTGAACAAGGTGGGACGTACTTTAAAGGCCAGCATCAGCTCAGATTTTGCCCAGCTTCTTAAATCTTGCCTCCTTCATCTCACCCCCCCGCAAAAAAAAAAAACAAAAAAAAACAAAAAACCCTTGTATAATAAACATAGGTCTGAAATGTTTCAGCTAAGTTGGCTAAATGTGAGATTTTACTAAGCCAATTGAGTATCATAATTTTCTTTTTTTAAAAACCAGGGGAAACTCTGGGAAAGGAAGGGACTATACTGATGACTAGGGGGAAAGGTGTTAAATGACTTTATGATTCTCATCACTCTGGAAAGCAAGAGTCTTCCAAGGATCTCACTGGTCCTAGAGGCCACAACTGAAAGGAGAGAAGAGAAGAGCCTTTGAATTGTGTAGGGGAAGAGGTAAGATACTCTAGGGCTTGGATGTACTCCAGGAATTTTAAAAATATCAACATTGTTGTTGCCCTTAGAAAAGAAAATGTATTACTGCAGAAGTCACAGGCAGCCTCAGGGAACAAAAGGCTTTAAAGCATCATAACACAGAATAACCTTAGCTTATGAAGATAAGAAAGTAGGGGGCCTACAAGTTTTGTTAGTTGGGAGGGGGATAGCATTATTCTGAGTGATTTCTTGTAACAATTCTGTGGCTTTGGCAATCTGTTGAGCTTTTTAAAAATAAGGAATATCTGTAGAACTATTTGGGCTCTGTAACCTTGGTTTGTCTCCCTTCTCTCCCCCTAGTGTACTTGTGTCTATGAATTCCAAGAAGGAGCTCCAGTGCGACCTGTCTCACCTCGCTGTTCTCTACGACTGACTCATTACATTGAAGAAGCCAATGTAGGCAGGGGTTACATCAAAGAACTTTGCTTCAGCCCCGATGGGCGAATGATTTCTTCCCCACATGGCTATGGGATTCGTTTGTTGGGATTTGACAAACAGTGCAGTGAACTTGTTGACTGCTTGCCCAAAGAAGCCAGTCCCTTGCGGGTGATCCGTTCTCTATACTCTCATAATGACGTGGTACTGACAACAAAGTTCTCTCCAACACATTGTCAGATTGCCTCAGGGTGCCTTAGTGGACGGGTTTCTTTGTATCAGCCAAAGTTTTAGGCACAACTTACATCAAATAAGGAACTCTTCTGGTGTTTGACTTAGGAATTACTTCAATTTAGATGAAGTATTTTCTTTTTAGAAGATCTGATAAGTTTGGGTCAAGATCCTGGTTCTTATGGGTCCATGAACACACTTGTGACCTTAGTACTTGGTCATCCAGCATCATACAGGCATCTCCAAGTTAGACTCTATGCAGCATCATCTTTTTCAGCATTCCTCTGCTCCTGCTGATCTGTGCCACTGAACTCCAGTTCTTCTGGTCATTTTGCATGGTAGCTCTTGTCAAGTTCCTTTCTTCCTCACTATTTCTCTCTTTTCCTCTCCCTGTCCCTCTCTTTCTTTGTATTGATTTTGGTGTCAATTTTGTGGAATTTGGCAGGAGTTTTGATTGGAGTAGGAGAAACCCATGACATTAGAATTGAATAAAACCTAGAAACTGGATATTGGCATATTGGTTGTTGAAAAAGAAATTTCATCTTCACTTATGAGTATACTTGGTCTTTTAAAGTTGCTGTTATGTTTATCCATATTGAGCACAGATAATGGCATTATTCTTATAATTGTTAAGATAATCTTGTAACAAAATGTCTTTTAAGTTTCCTGTTAAAATTATAAAAAGATTTTCATGGCGAGAGGGATTTTATTGTGAAATTCTAGAAGCAAATATTACCACCTCTCTTTGTAATTTACTTTACTTGTATGAATTTAACATCTCTAGCATGTATCCTTACTTGATATTTTGTTCCTATCAATAGCATTAGAAAGGAAAGGAGACAGAATGGGCTTTAGTTATTTCTATTGCACAGAAAAGGATTTTTAAAATTAGATTAGTACAATATCTGGTCATAGAGTGATAAGAACAATGTGACTTAGATTTTCTGTATTTCATCTGCCAGATTATTTGAATCACACAGGATGATGTGTTAACAGTATTGGGGTGCAAGAGGAATCAAGAGTAGAGGTAGGGGTTTACTCATTTTTCTTCCCTGAGCCAGGTGTCACAAGCCAACTCTGTCACCATTAGTGAGGGGAGAGTTGCAGTCCTCTTCAAGCTGTTATCGTAAGTATGGTAGTCAGTGACTTGGATATCAAGACTAAGTGCTGATATGAAGACTTGCCTTGTGTTTTCTTATGAAACACATAAGTATAAAGCAGGACTCAAGCACAAGGCTGACTGTTCTTCTTTGAATAACAGCTTTCTTGCAGTCTCCTCCACATGGGTGGCACTGTGTTTAGAAGGGATTACCAAAGGCTGGAGCAATTTAAGCTATGCACTAGCCTTGCCCTCTTAGGTTGCATTCTCTCTAGGCCACTGGTTCTCAAACATTAGGGTGTATTGTACCCATTACAGAGCTTGTGAAAAATGCAGAAACCTGAGCCTCACCTTATGAGATTCTGATTCAGCCAGGGGGAAGACAGGAATTTGCGTTTTTCATAGGAACCTCAAGTAATCTTTATTCTGAGGGTCTCTGGATTGCAGGTTGAAAAACATAACCTTAATTAGCAGTAAATTCTTCTCTACC